ATCAGAAATCTTCCTGCCTCCTTTTCCTTTGCCATGGTTTTCCATAGGCAGAGGCATGGATCAAAGTTGCAGGTTAACAAAGCTAGAGAGAGCCACGTGGCCCAGTGGACAGAAGCCTGTCCTTGGAGTCACAAAGACCTGGGTTCGAGCACTGCCTCAGCCACATTCCAGCTGAGGGATCCTGGGCCAGTCATTTTTACCTCTTGGTGCCCTGGGCAGCTCCCTAAGGCTGTAAGTTACAGGTGAGGTGCTAATCTCCATTGGTAGAGGGAATTTCTACACTGGGAGTTCTTGACATTGATGAGATCACTGGAACCAAAGATAAATTAATGAAGCCAAGTTAACGAGCATTTCTTTGGCACCTACACTGAGCTAAGCCCTGGGGATACAAAGCAAGTCAAAAACAAAAAGTTACTCTCATAGAGCTCCCAGTCTAATGGGAATGGATGGAATAGTTGATAGGGAGAGTCAGAATCCTAAAAGATCTTCACAGGTTAGAAGGGTGGACTGAAACACATCAGGTGGAATTGAATACGGGTAAATATATAGTCTGTCTTCCGGATTTTAAGGATCTAGGGTAACCTCTCCACTGACTTAGATTATAATCCCTTGTGTGCTTGGTTGATGGCCTCTCTGTATTGCTACATCCTCCAGTATTGGTCACCCCGCAGGCAAACTGATGATGAATGAGTCCCTTGGGAGGCAGCGATGGTAGGCCTCGAATGACAGATGATAGAGGAGAGTCCATCCCTGGGCCTGGACCCAAAGCCTTTTGAGCTTGTAGGGCCAAGTAGAGCTCAAGCTCCATGAATGGGAACCTTGTGAACCCACACTTTTTTTTTTTCCCATGTGAAGCAATTGGGGTTAAGTGACTTGTCCAGAGTCACACAGCTAGGGAGTGTTATGTGTCTGAGGCTGGATTTCAGCTCAGGTCCTCCTGACTCCAGGGCCAGTGCTCTATCCACTGCACCACCTCACTGCCCTCACACTTTCTTATGAGTGTCTTCCTGGCACCACGTGATCCCAGAAGGGTTAGGGAATCACTGGTACTCATTAAGGGGAAGGGGTTCCCTGGTCTGATCTCAGCATTAGAGTGCTGAGAGCCTTGAAGCAGGGAGACCAGTAAGAAGGTGCAGTAGCAGTGGTCCAGGTGAGAGGCGGTGAGCGATTCAGCTAGGGTTGTGGCTGCATGAGTAGAGAGAAGGGGATATAAGTTGTCAAGGTAGGAAGGTCAGGGTTTGGTGATAGATTAGATTTGGGGGGGGAGGCTGAGGATGCTGTTGAGGGTGTCAGCCTGGGTGCCTGGGACAGTGAGGGTACCCTTCCCAGAAAAGGGAAGTCTGGAGGTGGGGATAGGGAGGATTAAATAATGAGGCCTGTTTGTGCATGTTGAGTTTGAGATGCCTGTGGGACATCCGGTTCAGATGCCTAGGAGAAAATTGGAGATGCATGATTGTAGCCCAGGAGAGAGACTCTACTGGCTTTGTAGATCTGAGAGCATAACTGAACCCATGGGAGCTGATCAGATCCCCAAGGGAGATAATAGAGAGTGAGAAGAGATGGGGACCCAGGTCAGAGCCCTGAGAGGTTCCTACAGTCAGAAGGCTTGGAAAGCTGAGACCTGTTTTACGGCAGAACTAAGCGGATGAGTGGAAGTTCAAGGAAAACACATATGGACTCACAGTAAAGAAGAATGTTAATGGTTTTAGTTGACTGAAAGTGGACTAGACTGTTTTCAGAAGTGGTGGGTTCTTCTTCCTAGAGTTCTCGAGCTGAGGCTGGGGTGAGCTCCCCTGGCTGTGTTAGATTGTTTGTTTGCTGTCACTGGCATTGGGCTGATACAGTTTGGACTAGATGACCCCTGGGGTCTCTTCCCAGGCCGATTCTGTGACCCCTCCCCCACTGCAGAGAAGGAGAGTGGCAGCTCAATTACCCAGGGGCAGGTGGGAGAATGAATGGTGGGGAGCACAATAGGTTCTGGTGCCGGTGGTGGTGTTCCCATTATTCCAGGAAAGCTTCTTTTTATTTGGGAAGGAGGAAGTCTGACCAGTTGGGAAGGAATTTAGCTTTGCTGAGTGCCAAGCATCCAGAAGTCAGAGGGGAGTGGCGAAAGTTTTGAGACTGAGGAGGTCAATAGGCGACCTTGGCAAGTGCCTGTTGCCATGGATTGAAGGGAACGGAAACTACATTGGAGAGGGTCCAGGAGGGTGCTGGAAGCACAGCGTGTATTCCAGAGGAAGGAGAGGAGACAGCAAGACGGTAGGGGTCCTAGCGCAAGAGAGCGGCAGGCTGGAGTGTTAGCAGTGGATGCAAGGGAGCGTTGGAGAATATTACAGAGCTCCCAGGGGAGCTGGTCCTTTGGAAGGAAATAGGAAGGAAATAGGAGATCCTGCTTGTAGTTGGAGAGATTGTTGTTAGAGAGAGGAAGGTAATCATAACTACAGAACGGACCTCCGAGGCTGTCTCATCCAACCCCCTCGCTTTAACAGAGGACACTGAGGCCCAGGGAGGTTGCCCACAATTACCTAGGCAAGTATCAATGACACGCTTTCATCTGAGGTCTTCTGGATTGCATAGCTAACTGGTGGGTTTTCTTATCTACTTAAAAATGCTGGGGCAGCTAGGCAGCGCAGTAGATAGAGCAATGGCCCTGAAGTCAGGAGGACCTGAGTTCAAATCCGGCCTCAGACCAAACGCTTGACACTTACTAGCTGTGTGACCCTGGGCAAGTCACTTAACCCCAATTGCCTAAAAATAATAATAATTAAGGTCACTTTCTGGTCTGCATTGGTGGACAGATGAAATTCAAGGTCCAGCCCTGGCAGGAGGTCATTCCAAACTAGCTTTTAGGCAGATCACTTCTCCCAGAGCTCAACTTCTTCACCTGTAAGATGAGGGGATTGACCAGGCATCCTTTAAGACCCCTTCTAGTTTTAACATTCCACGTTCCTTCAAGAACAGGGAGAAAAGAAGCAACAAGAACCGAGGGCAGAAATTTCTTTCCCTCCCAATGTTTAATCCACTTCCCTTTATATTATTTTCAAGGAGTGGAGGGTGGAGACAGCCAGAAACCACAGTGTCTTCTGGTACAGCCACCAGAGGGTTAGTTAGAGGAAGGTGCCACAGCCTGTTGTGGCTTGTGGTTGAGCAAAGCCCACATCGCCTGGCCGAGCCTGGCCGGAGACACCCTGTCCCAGCTGCCTGCTTGGCCTTCCAGTTTGCTCATCTGTAAAATGAAGGAGACTGACCAGGTGGCCCCAAAGGTCCCTTCTGGCTCCCGGTCTGCTCCTCTGATCCTTGGCTCTAATGCGGGGAGGTCCTGATGCCTACTTCGTCACCCAGAGAGCTGTTGTGACAAAGAACAGAATAGAGAGAAAAGGCAGATCAGCAAAACTGAAAGTATCACCTGAGTTTAACAGTAAAGACAGTGTTTCCCACGGCGTCCCACCTCTGTACTAGAAGAGAGGGCGGTTCATTTATAATTACATATCTGTTATTCTCGTTATTTGTTTTTGTTCTTTACATCAACATTGTTATAGTCATTGTTGCTTACTTTACGTTTTATCTGTTCGTATAAATCTTCCCGTGCTTCTCTGCATTCAGCGTTGTTTCCAGGCCTTTGCTTTTCTGACAAGTGCTGCTGTGAATATTTTGTTGCTTATGGGGGCCTTTATGTCTGACTTAGGCCTTCAGCCTAGCATTGGGCTTTCTTCCTCTTCTCCACTCTGCCTCCCCCATGAGGTCAGCGGGGCATCGCAGCCCCCTCTTTATGGAGGGGGCGTGGCTGAAGTCAGGGAGCTAGGAAGCGGATGAGGCCGGCCTCAAACCCAGGCTTCCCAAGGCCCTGTCCGTTGTTCCCAGCCGTGTGACCGGGGCCCATGTGTCACAGATCCAAACGGTGACCCCAGAAATTCAGGCTGGGAGCTCTGGCTGCACTGGGCTGTGGCTTTTCTCAGAGCCTCAGGTCGAGGCCTCCGCCGTTAGCCCTGAATCCCAAACCTCCCAAGATGTTCGGCCTAATCCCTATCTGAGCAGGAATTCCTCCTCAGCTCTGGTTGGCGATGTCCATCTAGGGGGAACGCCCCCCTCCCCGGGTGCCCAGCCCACTTTTGGACAGCTCTGATCGTCAGGATGTTTTTCCTTAACCTTAAATCTTCCTCTCGGTAACTTCCCTCCATTGTTTCTAGTTCTGCCCTTCAGGGCCAGACCGACCAAATCTAGGCCTTCCTCCTCGGGAGAGGCCTTCAGAGGCTTGAAGACAATGATTCTGCTCTCCCTCGGTCTTCTAACCCTGTACGAGCTGGGCCCATTCTCACTGCTCTGTTATCTAGCCAAACCCGCCTTGCACCAGCACTCATTTCCCACCTCCATGACTTTGCCCGGACCATCCCAGGTGCCCGGAAGGCCCTTCCTCTTTCCCTCTGCCCCTGAGAGTCTGTTTCTACTTTTAAGCTGCAGCCCAAGCACCATCTTCTGCAAGATGCTTTTTTCAGGTTCCCCCAGCTGCCAGTACCTGGCTCCCCTCCCCTCCCTTCCCCTCCTGTCTTGTGGTTAACAACTTACATTTATTTATTTTAATTCTCTTTGTGCCGCATAGACTTGTGCTGTCCCCCCTTGTTAGGATGTAAGTTTTCTACAAGCAGAGATCATGATTTTTTGTTTATGTACCCCAGCTAGCATACGGCTAGAATAAATATAAATTATTTATAATAATAAATGGAATAAATGTTTGTTGATTGATTCTCCAGGTCAGATGTCCCCACTTCCTGTGACTGATTGTCGCATAATGTGGTCTCGCCATCTCCTACTCTTTTCCTCTAGACCAGTTCCATTTTGTTAATTGTTTTCGCTAAAACTTAGTACTCAGAGCAAGACAGGTGTTTGGGGTTGGTTTTTGGTTTTGTTTTTGTTTTTTTGTGGTTGTTGGGTTTTGTTTTGTTTTTTTTAATCCCCAGTACTTAGCACAGTACCTGGAACATAGTGGGTACTTAATAACTGCTTCTTGGCTGTCTGACTCGGTGTTCCTGACGTGTCTGACTAGAGCTGTGGGCAGTAGGACTCCCATCTCCTTCGTTGTGGAAGGTAGACCTTGGGGACACGCAGGACCACGCTGGTGGCACTCTGTGGGGTCTCCTGCTGCCCCGTCTTTCAGCTCCTCTCAGGCAGGCTGCCTTCTGGGTATTCCTCTCTGTACATGGCCTGTCACAGGCTCTCCTGCTATAGTGACCCTCCAGGCTCTGTGGCCCATTTGAACCCAGGCTGCCCTCTGCCTCTGGCACCCTCAGGACCCCGTCTGGCGTGTTCTTCCCCCAGCTTTGCCCATCTCCCTAGAAAGCTCCCAGATGTTGCCTCTTGGCCTCTCACCAAACCATCCTGGGCTGTTCTCTTCCCAACATGGAGGAGGGATGTGGGGTATGAATGAAAACACCAACTTATTCCGCCATGCCATGTCCAGAACGTTCCTCCTCCTGCCTGCTGAGGCCCCCAGGCCTTGGCTGCCTGCTGTCTGGCTTTTCTTTCCATTCAATCATAGGATTTCAGAGCTGATGAGTAGTCATCAAACCCCAGCTCAAATATGTTCACCAGTGGGGAGCTCCCTACCTAATGAGGCAGCCCAGCCCTTTTCCAGATAGTTCCACATGTCAGGAAATTATTCCTTAAATGGAGAGGTAGGGAGGTTCAGTGGGAACCATATTGAGCTTGGGATCAGAAGACTCAGGTCTGAGCCGCCATTGTGTGAGTGTTGTGGCAGCTGTGTGACCTTGGGCAGGTCCTTTTCCCTCCCGGAGGAGCCTTGGTTTCTCCATTTGTCAGATGGCTACTCTCATGTTGGGCCCAAATCCTCCTTATAAATACTTTTTATTTGCTTGGGGCTTCTTCAGGGCTCAGATACATTGGAAGCAGAGCTGGTGGTCTGGGAGAGTGTGTGTGTGTGTGTGTGTGTGTGTGTGTGTGTGTGTCTGTCTGTCTGTCTGTCTGTCTGTCCCTATAAGTGGGTAGCACTCACCCCCAACTTGAAGTCAGGAAGACCTGAGTTTGAATTTGGCCTCAGATACTTAGGAGCTTTATGATCTGGGCAGCTCACTTATCCTCTGTCTGCCTCATTTTGCTCATCTGTAAAATGGGAATAATAATAGCACCCACCTCCCAGGGTTGTTGTGAGGATCAAATGATTTAATATAGGGTGATCCAAAAAGAATTAAACACTTTGCAAATTTTATTATTCAGTAACTAAGTTATATGTGAACATGTAGTCAAAACTTATTTGTCAAAGACCTATCTGGGAAATGTCAGGGGGTAACTGCAGTTTGGTGCTTATAATATACTCACATTTAACCTGATTACTGAGTAATACATTTTGCAAAGTATTCAGTTCTTTTTGAATCACCTTGTATATGTAAAGTATTTTGCAAACCTGAAAGTGTGATGTCAATTTTAGCTCTGGTTGTTGTTTATGGTTATTGTTATTATTATGATTCTTATTGTCCTTCCTCTTTGTCCCCCGATGGTCTCCGGGTGTCCAGGCCCTGCTCCCTTCCCCCCACCTCCAGTCTTCCCTGGGATGCTCTCCTGAATCCTTATTGGTGATACCACACCTGGTTGACGCCATCTGCCATCCAGTTAATTAGCTAATCCAGCCCCCAGCTCTCCCTGGATCAGTGGGGATGTGGGCAGCTGGGGGCCCTGCTGAGACAGGATTCTGTCATTGCTAAGCTCTGTCTAGTTTGATAAAATAATGCTCTCTCCTACTCCCATCACCAGCACGTTCCTTCCCCTCAGACTGCTCCTGACCTCCCTGTCTGTTACCTTGGCTCCCACCTTCCTGGGAAGTCCTTCCTCGGTCTAGGACCAGATGAGGATGCCATCTGGCTGGATCAGAGTATCTCTTTGATGTCACTGAGGGACTGTGGTTGCTTTGTCCCCCACCCCAGCACGTGCGCGTGCACACACCCCCCCCCCCCACACACATACACACTCACACACACACTCACACTCACACACACTCTCACACTCACACTCCCTCTCCTTCCTGGGGTATGGTGATAGGATGGGATGTCATTGAGCAGCTCACATAGTCATGAGTGGTCATGGTTGCTCTGTGCCCCCCTCTCTTCTCCTCCTTAACCAGAGTTACCTGAGAACTGGACAGACACAAGGGAGACCTTGCTGGAGGGGATGCTGTTCAACCTCAAATACCTGGGCATGACCCTGGTGGAGCAGCCGAAAGGCGAGGAGCTCTCGGCGGCCGCCGTGAAGCGCATCGTGGCCACGGTGAGTGCCGTGGGACTGGGCTGGTTTCTCCTTCTCTGACTCAGTGGGCTAAAGAGATAAGCTAGGGTTGGGCCTGGGCCTTTTGCCTGTGGTGGGCTGTGTAGGGCGAGTGTGGCCTTTGTCTCGGGTGACGGATTGGGGTGTGAAATGAAGAAATCTTGGCCTGCCCTAGGCACAGGTCCCTGGCCTTCAGCTACCTCTATGACGTAAGTGAGAAGGGGACAGAATGGCCTAACAGAAAGAGGCCTGACCTTGGAGTCAGCAGCCCCAGGATCACAGCCTAGCGCTGCTAAGGCCTGGAAATGTGACATTGTACAGGTCACTTCTCTGGGGCCCTGGTTCCCTGCTCTATAAAGTGAAGGTTGAACCAAATGCTTCTTTCAGCTCTAACAATCTGAGTCTGTGAGCCTGTGTCTGTAAGAACGCATTGTTCTGAAATCCTCTGGGAGACAGGCGGTGGCAGGCCCCGCTGTTGTCTGGGGGCACCAAGGGGCCGGGGGTGGAGTTAGAGGCCAGACCTGTATGTGGAGTCTCCCGTGGATTCTGGGTCTGCTGTCCTGCCTGCCCACGTGTGCCAGGGATGAAAAGAGCAGGACTTGGGCCCAGGTTCTTGGGGGAGAGCTCCATAAGACAAGAGGGGGATGCGAAGCCCCCCAGGGGCCCACATGGCGATGGAGGTGTTTCTGGGTGGCCTCTTCTCTGGCCCCCTCACAGGGGACAGGACTGTAGCTCTTGCGTGGTGACCACAAGGGCAGGGCACCCTTCCTAGGACTCCTTGTTGGTGATTTTTACCTTTTTTTAAACCTCTTTCAAAGCCTTTGCTTTGATATTTCCCAGTTCTTGTGCCAGCTCTCAAATGGGCCTTGGGGCAAAGAAGGGCAGGGAGTCCCAGTACTCAAGGGCTGGGCGTGGCGTTCCAGAGGCATCCCCAAGGGCCTGATCCCCTGGGCACGGTCTGCTCTTTCCCTTTGGCTAGGTCACAAAACGCAACCAAACACCCAATCAGCAGCTGCAGACTGGAGGGCATGAAGGAGGAAAGACGCTGCTCCAGAACGGGGAGTGGTGCTGCCCTCATTTTTTCTTTGTAAACCCAAGGTCTCCCCTTCTCCATTCATCTCCCTCAGCCCAGAATTATCAAACGTCCAAGCTGAGAGAGCCGTTAGAACATAGAATGTCAGAGCTGGGAGGGCCCATGGAACCCAGAATGTCAGAGCTGGGAGGACCCTTGGAACCTAGAATGTCAGAGCTGGGAGGGCCCTTAGAAAACAGAATGTAAGAGCAGGGAGAGTCCTTAGGACATAGAATATCAGAGCTGAGAGGGCCCTTGGAACCCAGAATTTCAGAACTGGGAGGGCCCTTAGAATATAGGATATCAGAGCTTCGAGGGACCACAGAACGTGGTGTCTGAGCTGAGAGGGGGCCTTAGTGCCCCTGAAGTCCAACACCCCCCCAATAGAGAAGTAAGCTGAGGCCTAGACTGGGGAAGCACTGTGCCCACGGTCAGTTATTGTTGGACTAGAACCCAGCTCTCCTGACTACTCCTGCTGCATGATGATACCAGAGCCTCCAGAAAAGGCTTTTTGAGACTCAAGACGAACGGCCCTGTCCAGTGATAAGGAGCTATCGAAGCAACTGTGCTTGATGCTGAGGCCCCTGCAGCGTTGTGAAGCCGGGGGCCAGGACCTGCAAGGGAAGGAGCCTTTCCAGCCCTGGGAGGGCGTGGGGTGGCCTTCAAGGATGGTGAGGCGGCCAGGCCAGACTGTCAGCCAAGCTTGTCCTCTTCTCTCCGAAGGCCAAAGCTAGTGGGAAGAAGCTCCGGAAAGTGACCCTCAAAGTCTCCCCGAGGGGCATCATCTTACATGACAGCGGGACCAATGAGCTGATTGAGAACGTTTCCATCTACAGGTAGGCCCTGCTCCCAGATGCTGCCCTCTTGAAGTGTGGATGAGGGGATGTCAGTGGGCAGCGTCCCTCTCCCCCAGAAATCATAGGATCATTGGCCTAGAGCTGGAAGGCACCTGCTGGGGCCCTGTGGTCCAGCTCCTTCATTTTACAGAGGAGGAAACTGAGGCTCAGAGAGATTGAGCGACTTGCCCAAGGTCACATAGGTAGTAAGTGCCAGGGGCGGAATCTGAACCCAGATCCTCCAACTCCAAAGCCGGGCTTATCCATATTGTGCTGTTTTTAATCCGTTAAATGCCTGGATTAATCTTATTACTTCAATACATTAGTGATCACTGATCTTATTAACATGAGTGTTCCCCCCAGGGCCTAGCACAGCGCATGGCACATAGTACATGCTTCATAAATGTTTGTTGACTGACTGATACATACTGCAGCCCCTTTGTGCCTCAGGTGACCTTGAGCAAATCTCTCCGCCTCTCTTGGCCTCAATTTCCTCATCTGTGAAATGAAGTGATTGCCCTTGATTTGTAAGGTCCCTTTCAGCTGTAGATCAGTAGCACACACTTGGTGCTTAATAAATGCTAATTAACTCAGTAACTGACTGATCGACTGGTTTTCAAGTGTTGCAGTGACCAAAAAATGCACCCCCTGGCGGGTAACTGGCCCCCTGGAGACCTCCCTGGCCTGGTTCTTGGTCCTGAAGGCCCTGTTGTTGCTTTCTCGCTCCTCTAACTCATTAATCCTGCTGAGTAGGAGAAGGCATGGTGTGGAGTGGAAACACTGCTAGGTTTGGAAGCAGACAGGAGATCAAATCCTGCCTCCGCTATTTTACTGCCTTTTGCATCACATCAGGGGCATCCCTGAACTCTGGGTCTCAGGCTCCTGCTTTGTGGAGCAAAGGGGTTAGACCAGATCAGGGTTCCTGGACCCCTTAGGGGCTCTGGGGAAGCCTTGGACCCTTTCTCAGGAGAGTGCCTTTAAATGCATGAAATGAAGTACATAGGAATACATAGGAAAACAATTCTATTGAAATACATCTATCAAAATTAAAAAAAAAAATCCCCAAAGAAGTTCATAGACCCCGGGTTAAGAACCCTTGAAATAAATGATCTGTGAGGTTACTTCTTTTTTTTTTTTCCTTTTCTTTTTTTGGTGAGGCAGTTGGGGTTAAGTGACTTGCCCAGGGTCACACAGCTAGTGTCAAGTGTCTGGTCTGAGGTCGGATTTGAACCCAGGTCCTCCTGACTCCAAGGCTGGTGCTCTATTCACTGGGCCACCTAGCTGCCCCTGAGGTTACTTCCTGTTCTAAATCTTTGATCCGAATGGAAGCTTCATGAGGGCAGGGAGTGTTTTGTATCCCCATCTGGCCAGCACAGCACCTGGCACACAGTAGGTGCTTAATGAACCTTTGTTGAGTTTCGTTGACTAAAGCATTTCTTCCCAACAGTCCTGTGGGTTGAGTAATGAGAATATCATTAGCCTCCTCCCACAGAGAAGTAAAGGGATGAGCTCAAGGCCGCACCATGAATGTCAGATTCAGACTCCGTCCTCACTCCTAGGTCCATGAGGTCTCCCTCTGCTCTTCCCTTCTCCCTGATGATGTCCCTCATCGTTGGGCATCCACTGATGGTGGGTCCGTGCTGCCAAGGGAGGCAAGGTTCTTAATCTGCCTGGGTGCTGTGAACTTACTTTTCCAAATGTTTTGATAATTGTATTTCATTATAACTTGTTTCCTCTGCACTTCTATGGATTTTGTTTTTGTGCATCTAAACACGCTCTCTTCTGTGGGTTTTCCCGGACAGCCAAAGCGGGCAGGACACAAAAAGATACGCCGGTGGGGGCCTCAGAAAGAGGGTTGCATGGTCACTTGCCTGGTGGTCAGCTAATCTGCTGGTGATGAGCATCTCCGAGTGGAATTAGGCTGACCCTGATGTGGCCAAGCTTTGCCCGGCTGGGGTAGGACCCAGAGCAGCCTGAGCTCCGCCAGTGGGGTCTTTGAAAACGTCTCTGCCACGCTGAGTTGTCTCAGTTCACCATGGGGCCTCTGTGGTTAGGGTTTCCACAATTGAAGGTCACTTAAAACTGCCCTTCTCTTGAAACAGCCAAGCTGGAGTCTGGGAGTTTTATGTTATCTGTTTTACAGATGAGGAAACTGAGGCTTAGAGAAGGGAAATGACCTGATGAGGATCACACAGGTTAGCAGCAAGATGGGGCTCTCTGGACACGGTCTCTTTACCAAGCCTGAACAACAGGCTTCATTATTAAGGACAAACATTCCTGTTTTAACCAGGGCCCTTGTTCTGCCTCCAGTTTTGACTCTGTGTGTGTGTGTGTGTGTGTGTGTGTGTGTGCGGTCTGGTCAGCCCCAGCTGGGGTTGGTTGGCCACCTCTGTCAAAACCCGATGCTCTTTAGGCATCGGGTGCAAACGTGTATTCTTTGGGGACCATCCACCCAGCAAACACTTTTGTGTTTTGACATAGCTAACTTGGAAAGGGGCCTTGGTCAATAAGAGGGCTCTGAGGTTGCTGCCCTTTGGTTTCTTGGGCTAGGCCTGGAACGCCCCCGTGGCATTGGATGACGGAGCAGGCCCTGTTGCCGGCCCTGAGCAGAGTGCCTCGTTGTCATCCATCCCCTTCCATGGAAACATCCCAGCTCCCCTCATGTCAGCCGAGGGCCCAAGGAAGAGGCCTGGGGAGCCTTTCCTGGGTGACTCTGCCCCTGACCGTCCCCTCTCTGGGCTGTGGCACAGGGGGAAGCTGAGAGCTGTCTGGCCATGGGTCTGATCGGGACCTGAGCACGTTCAGTGTCAGTCATTCCCCTTCCCTTGGTTGGCCTCAGTTTCCTCAGCTGTAAGGCAAAAGGGGTTGAACCGGGTGGGATTGTGTGGTCTCTGTGGTCAGCCTCTCTATAGTTCAGCCCCTTTATTTTTACAGGTGAGGAAACCCAGCCAAAGGGAAGGGAAGTGACTTTCCTATGTCCTGGCACGTGTGACTACAGCATCTGTTCTGCCCCTCTCTGCTCACCCATTTGAGCTGTCCAGCAGCACTGCTGATGAATTGTGGTTTCCTTACCCTGTTGCTGCTCGTGTCGTGGTTACAGTTATTACCAACCTTTGGAGACCGTGTGGAGGGAGGGCAAAAGGGACACAGTTTCTACCCAAGAAAGCTCAGGCCCGGCGCGCTCCTGGGCAGGGAGATAACACAGCCTCCTGGATTGGGCAGGGCCTTGACCCAGTGGAAAGTGGTAGATTTGGAGGCAGAGGACCTCTGCCACCTCTTCCTATTCCTCCTTCCTGTGTGGCCTTGGGTCAGCTGCATCATCTGTCTGGACCTTAATTTCCTTATCTGTAAAGTGAGGCACTTGGGCCAGCTGGCGTCCGAGGCCCCTTCCAGCCCCAGAGCTCAGATTCTGTGGCCGAGTGGTCTCTCACGACCGCTACTTATCGCCAGGCTGCTGCACCCTCTGTCTCTAGAGTGGGGGCTGATAATCCTCAGGCTGCCTGCCTCGAGGGGTCACTGGAGGGATGTGGTAACTCAATCTCACCAAAGCTGCTGCTGGGCTAGAAGCCTGGCCTCTTACTATTGATGTGGTTTGGTCGTGTTGGACTTACCATGACCCTGCTGGGGGTTTTCTTGGCCAAGATACTGGAGGGGGTCGCCATTTCCTTCTCCAGCTCATTTTATGATGAGAAAACTAAGGCAAACAGGGGTAAGTGATTTGCCCAGGGTCACACAGCTAGTAAGTGTCTGAGGCCAGATTTTAACTCTAGCTAGCCTTGAAGCCTGGCCAGCTCCCATCAATCAGTGAATGATGGCCTGAGGCTGAAGGTGTGGGGAGGAGGGCCCCAGCTTCTGGCTCCTTTTCTGAAGCCTGCTGGCTCCTCTTCAGATCAGATTGGGATGGAGTCATTGGGACTTGAAGGACAATTCTTGCCTAAGCTTGTGTGATGAGATAACAGGGCAGGATGTGGCAGGGAGCTGAGCAGGGTGAGCCCAGGCATAGGCCACCCTGGGGGAGAAAGGCAGAGAGGAGTTGCTAGTAACTGTCCTCCTCTGCTCAGCTTCTTTTCTCTCACCACACACACACACACACACACACACACACACACACACAAACACACACACACACGCCTCTCGAGCACGACTTCAACAAGCCATTTCTCTTCTGTGGTCCTCAGTTCACTCATCTGAAAATGATGAAAAGTTGGTGTCCCTCACAGCCCTGACCTCCTGTGTTCTAAGGCTCCTTCCAGCTCTGCCATTCTGGGCCCTCTTCCCTCTGACAGTCTCTGTTCCAACTCTCTGTGACTTACCTTCAATAGATCTGCCATGGGGCCATGGTGCTGGTCATCCTTAGGGGCCATTTCAAGACTGAAATAGTCAATGATACCCCAGCTCCCATTTCTCTTCTAGAACATGAAGGCTTACAAAAGGGCTTTCTCACACCAGCCCTGCCTGGCAGGAAGGATACGTGCTTATGCCCACTGTCCAGATGAAGAACCAGGTAGTCAGAGGAGTTCTGGGCCCCAGTGGCTGGCCAGTGCCAGAGGCAGAGCCCCAACCCTGGTCTTCTACTCCAGCACTCTTCTGCTTGGGGTAGGGCCTCTGGGGGATGCTGAGTCTTGTCGGACGCAGGGGTAGGCACTCTCTAAGAATCACTGTTAAATAATAACGATACTTAGCATTTGTAGAGCACTTTCCAGTTTACAAAAACACATGAACTCTTTTGAGCTTTATTCCTAAGTAGGAGAAGTAAAGAATTGCGAAGCCAGGTAGGAACTGAGGGTGAGAGGGGTGGGGGTTCTGATTGCTGCAGGAGCTCTCGGGGGGCTGGCCTGCAGGAGCACTGGGAGGAGGCCAGTCTGGAGGAGTGTGGGGTCCAGGCTGGGAGCCACAGCCCCTATTCTCGGGCAGTCTGAGCTTCTCACAATTAGCATTTATTTATCCCCAGGGTAAGAGGGGTGAGCACTACCAGCTGCCCAGGCTGTGATAGCTCTTCTCACCTTCACTTCCTCCCTGCTCTCCCCACCTCACACATCCATCCTTCAGTACTGCTGCTGCTCATCTTAACTTCCTTAGGCTCAAACCTAGTGACGTCACTCCTCTGCTCAGAGACGTTCAGTGGCTCCCTGTTGCTTGCCAAGTAAAGGCCAGATTCTTGTGCTTGCTAATTGAGGCCCTTCACAAGTTGGCGTCCCCCTCCCTTCCTAGCCCCTTCTCATACTGTGCCCCCTGTCTAACTCTCCTTCTCTAGGCTCCAGAGCAGGGGGAGGAAGGGGGGGAGGCTGGCAAGTGCCCAGGTCCTCTGATTTCCAGTCCAGCTGTCTGTTCACTGACCTGTACTAGTACCCCAAAAGTGAGGGTGAATGTTTGCTATTATTCTGCCTTCCAAGGTCCCTTCTAACTCTGATACCCCCCAAGTCAACAATAATAGCTCATATCTCTATAATGCTTTAGGTCCTTCATAACCCTGCTGTGAGGCAGGCAGTGAAAACATTACTTTCTCCCTTCTGAAAATTAGAAAATTGGAGCTTCAAGGGTTAAATGACTCACCCAAGGTCATACAGGCCACGTGTGGCAGAACCAGGGTGGGAGATCAGGTCTTCTACCAGAGCAGTATTCTTTCCACGCTCACATTCTGTATTAGCTGAATGTTGTACGTGAGCCTGCTTGGTGGCAGGGGGATGGATCAGATGACCTTACCCTTCCAGCCTTGGCCCCCCCCAGAGAACCGACATGGTAAAATCCAGCCATCCTGCATCTCCCCGACACCACCACCCACTCCCTGGCCCAGGGGGATGTCTGGGGTTGGGCAAGGGAGCCAGCTCCTAACCCCCGTGCCTTTGGTCTCACTCTCCCCTCTCCCTGCTCCAGGATCTCCTACTGCACCGCAGACAAGATGCATGACAAGGTCTTTGCATACATCGCCCAGAACCAGCAGAGTGAGAGTCTGGAGTGCCACGCTTTTCTCTGCTCCAAGCGGAAAATGGTTAGTGGGAGAGCCAGGGCCCTGGACGTGAGCCAGTTGAGGTCTTGGGGGGGGAGAGGGGGAAGAGCATGAGTTGGGAGTCACTTGTTTTGGG